TATTTGATTGTGTTGATTATATCATTATTTTCTTTTTGACATGCTCTAGATGTTGCTGCGTTTGAAAGTCCTCAAGTGATGTGGATTCTCTTATTTGGTACTGTTGCCATTCTGTAGCGCAGGTCAACAAGGTTCAAAGTGGTTTGGTCTTCAACATAATTCCATATTCTTCGCTTTCTCCAAGTCATCTTTAGCCATTGAATCTAAGAAAGTGATTGTATACTGATGAAAGTTTAGACATTTCTGACCAGGTTTGGCGCCAGGTATGACATTCATATGAAAGTCTCAATCAGACAAGGCTATTTCAAAACATGAGTTTTCAGGTTAATGTTTAGGTTTTATATATATATGTATATATAAAAATTTGCGGTGTTGATCAAAACTACCTCTTGCACGACCTATTTTGTGTTCAATTTCATTATCTCCTACGCTAAATTTGTTCTATCTGATCTATACACCAACGTATTTGAAGTGTTTAGTATTTACTAAATCCACATCCTAACTTTTTATGCTGAATTTCAAACAAGATGCCATTACTGCTTTCCATGTTTTAGAAAAGTTTCTTTTGAGTTCTATTTCTTGGAACACTTGGTAGTGGATATTGATCTTTTATCATGATCATTCTTATTTCAACTATGTATATCGATGTCGTCGGCATAGACCCTGTCATCATTAGTACATTGACCTCGGAAGAGAAAGAAGGATCGTTGGCTTCTATTAGTAGAATCTTTGGCGGTGTGGTATGGAATGTCGATTATATGATTATTTTCTCTTCCAGTTACATGTTCTATCTATTTTAGTTGTTACTGTTGTTGAGATATTTTTTTTTCAGCGTTTCACCTCAAGCAAGGCGGGAAGCCACTAGGATGCAAGGGGTTACAGGAAATAGCAAGATCAGATAGGAGTGATAGAAGAAAAGATGAGGGTAGTGGATAGATTAAGGCAACTGGAGATGTCGATTGACATTACATTTGAATAGCTGGAGATTATAGCTCACAGGGAAACAGGAGAGGGGAAGGGAGTTCCACAGGCGAGAGGTGTGAGACATGAAGCTATTAGAGTAGAAGACACGGCTACATTTAGGAGTTTCGACAGTGAAGGGGTGAGAGCGGGATGCCAGCCTCGTAGGGCGCTGGAACTCATGACGTCTGGGAACCAGCGAATGCAACTCATCGGAGCAATTTCCATGAAAGTATTTGTAGAACAGACAGAGGTCCATGCGGTCACCTCCGGTGGGCAGCCCTGAGGCCACATAATGATGCAGATTTTGCCAACTCCTCTCTGCCCGCGTCACGGTCGAAACTGTCTGTTTCTTTTACTTCGGGTCTTCTCAACTTTCAAACAAAGATTTCTCAAGTGATGTGGTTTCTGTTATTTGTTACTGTTCTTTGTCATTCTGTAGTGCAGGTCAACAAGGTTCAAAGTGGTATGGTCTTCAAGATGATCCATATTCTTCGCTTTCCCAAAGCCATTCTTAACCATTGATCTAAGAAAACGATTGTATACAGATGACAGTTTAGATATTTCTGAAGACGTTTGGAGCCATGCATGACATCCATATGAAATTCTCGATCTGACGAGGCTATTTAAAAACATGGCTCAAGTTTTTCTTTTGGTTTTATAAAAACTTGCGGTGTTGAGCGAAACTATTCCTAGCACAGCCTATTCTAGGTTCAGTTTCTTTATCTCTTATGCTAAATTAGTTATAATTGATCCATACGCCGTGCTATTTCTAGCGTTTAGTATTTAGTGATTCTACAACCTGAAATGCTGACTACGCAAAATTGCTTAATTGAATATAAATCAATTCCTTACTCATCGGAGAATATCAGCTCTCGCAAAATCTCGACTGGATTTGCTGACTAATCGTTTTTCAACCAATCCCCTGCAAATGCCAATTTGCAGATATGAAAAATGTGTATGTTTATTTTGTTCATTGCTTTGCCTCTTGTGACTAAGATTTTCTTTTTTTTTCTTTTCTTGCAGATATAACGCTCGAAATTAAGTTCCACAGGAATAAAACATTGCATATATCTCAGGATGACGTTACTAAAGGATATGCGTGTTTTGTTGTCCGCGTTTCACCTCTTGATAGGTGGTAAGTAATGCTCTAATTTTCTGTTATATATTTTCTCATTTTTTCTGATAGACCAAAGAAATATAAACTTTAAATAACACTTGAAATGATGGTCACCATTATTCATTCCTTAAGCAAAAAAAAAAAAAACAACAAAAAAAACAGCGTTTCTTAATCTTCTCCCATTACTATATTCATTGAACCCGACAATCGTTTTAAGGAGGGTAACTCCAAATTTTCCCGCACTTTCGTCATAACATTTCTTTAGGTGTGTCACATTGCATTCTGCTCACGCGTGCTTGAAGTTGGTGCTTTTGCGGTCACGTGATGGAATTTTTTTAGCTTGATCGCATCAGTTTCTTCGCTACTGTTACAGTGTAAACATGGTCGCCTCGTTAGCAGTGTGCTCCGCTAGCCGTGTGG